GCGCTTATTCTATACTTGGTCAAGCATACAAATATCTGCTATCTATGTCTGTAACACAAGTGTCCGGTGAACAAAGCTTTTCTATGTTAAAATTAATTAAAAGCAGGCTAAGATACTTATAAGTATATCGCAAGAAAATCTAGAAGCCTTCGTGTTAATGTCAGTGGAGAAGGATTTTTTAAACGAAATACATTCTAGTGATGTCATTAATATTATTGCTCAACAAAGCAAGCTTCTAAATAAAAAATTAATATTGTAGAATATAGACTTGTGCTTATTGTAATTTTTGTCAATGTTGTATTTTGAATATATTTAAATACATTTTTTTTTATTTGTGGGCTGGGCTGGTAATAAATTTTCCACACAAAAATTTTAGGGCCAGTCCGCCCCTGTTCGCAGGAATTCAGGGTGGAAATCATAGTTATGTCTGGGACATTTCTGACAGGTGGAATATCACGGCTGACGCGTATTCAAGGAGCGAGCGATGGGGACTATCGACCCAATCTTCCAATATTCCAACAACCCAAAAACTCAGCATTTATACATTAAAACTTAAAACTGTCAAACCCATCTCTGGCTTGCTTGTATTGGATGGATTAGATTGTACCCAGCGTAGTGCTTATTAATTTTTTCATCATTCAATACAAATAAATAAATAAAATGTTTATGCAAAACTACACATTTACAGTATTAAAAGACTTTTCTTTTATTAGCGGTAGTCCGGCAGTTCTCAAAGCAACAGACTAACGTGTTTGTCGCTTCGTAAACTATTCAAGCAACTGCCCAAGAAACAGAAGTTAGATTAAAAAGAAATTTTTATAAATGATATCTAAGGAGGCCTGACGTCAAGGTCATTGATTTCGATCACACTCGATTAGGTTATATTGCATCCCCAACGAATGACACGTGCCAACTATAAAATGCAACACCAAAATCAAAGTCGAAAATCAGTCAATCAGTTAAAACCCTCATAATACCAAACGTTTGTCGACTGGTTGGTGGTTCGTAGGAGCGCGCCAGTCGCCTTGAGGTTCCAGGCCTGAAGGTTGTGGTTTCGCTTCCATGTATGGAATCCCTTCTGTAATTAATTTTTTTTTCTTTCGATTTTATTAAACTATGATTTTTAATTCATTAAAGGTATTTTACATTCATTATATTTAAAAATTATTTTCAAATATTCATGTACTGTACATGTGAGGTTCGTGCATAATGTGAGATCAGCCGGGGTTACGGAGTAGGTAGTACTCGTGTAACACTTAATCGGCACTATTCCGCGAGAATAGTTCTCCGAGTTTCGGATCGAGAGATCCGATCTTATGTCAAGATTCGTTTGACCGGGAGGGCTTTTAATAATGATCCAAATCGCGAGATTCGGATCTACGTCAGGATGCTGACACCAGTTTGTCAATTTATCGATGCGCGGACAAACACGCATATACGATCTGATTCGGTCACACAAACAAGAGACATCCCAATTAAAAACGAAATAATAAATTTAATAAAACAAGAATATAAACTCATACAGAATGTGGATAAACGAGAGACAGAACTACTACAAATACTATACAAATCGGACGATAGCTATACTTATCTTCAACCCAATTCGCGATCGAGAGAGAGAGCTCACAAAATCGTTATTAAACATACAATCTGATTCAGTGGTCGTTCGTCTTCTTCTCTGTAGGTAAGGGACACCTTGTAGATAAAGTTCATTTACTTCTTCGGATGGGAGATCAATATGTGCACAAAACCAAAGTATATTTTCTAAGTGCAGACTCTGGACTTATTCTAAGTGACTCGTCTAAGGGCGTTGGTCATCAGGAGGAAAATGTATGTGGAGTTTGGACGCTTTCAGATCTGTCGCTCAACTCCCCGAATTCTGACAAGTTCCCTGTATATCTTCGGAATACCGACCAATCATCGGCCAGTAACTCTTTCGTGAGAACGGATGAAAGGGGAATGAATGAGGGGTAACCATTTCCCATCTGAGCAGGATTTTAACCAGATAAGGGAAAGTCAGAGGATGTACTAACTTCAGTGAAAGGAAGTGACATCTGTTATCTGCCTATTCCCACGTTAAAACAGTATTTTTCTCACCAAAAATGAAGTAATATTTGGTGACATTATTTTAAC